TGGTATATAAGTAAATATGGTAGTTTACGTGTTTAATAAGTATTTTTCAAAGTTTTAGGTGTTATGTATGTAAAAATCTATTTAATTAATATTAGTTAATTTTAAATCCTTTTTTCTCATAAAATTGAATCCTTTAATTTGAAATTAATATTAACTTAAAATACTTTTTATATTTTAAGTTAATATTATTACTAAATGTTTAATTTTATTGTGGGATGGACCATTGGTTACCAACAATCAGCGCCGACAATTTGACATTAGAACCAAATGTTTGTAACAAAGCATTGCCACCAGTATAGTTAGAAATTGAGGAATTATTACACCAATGGTCCCAAAATAGGGAAATATTAGAAGAGGCATTGACCTTAAAAAGAAAAGAAGATCTAGCCAACTCAGCAGATTTGCTTAAGCATTTCCAGAAAGAAGAAGCAGAGCCCGAGCAAGGCTTCCAAGGTGAGTGATATCTCAAAGATAACCAGCTAGATAGGAGGGAAGAGCTGTTGTAAAACCTGCTAATGATAGAACAATTGAAGGCAAAAATAATAGCAGGAATAGACGGCAATCCCAAACCACCAAAATACTTAGGCCTGCAAACTTTATCCCAGGATACCATAATCAACTTCTTAACAGCCATAGAGTCACCACAAAAAAGAAATCTAGAAGAGATTTTCTTAATATGCTTAATAACAATTTTGGGTATAATAGAGCCCCTTATCCAATAGGCAATAGTGTTTTGAATAGTAAATTTCAAGTATTGAAGGCGCCCAGCAAAAGATAACAGACTAGCTTTCCATCCATTTAATTTTTGTTGATACTATCCATCAGAGGCATGAAATCAGCCAGTAAGAGTCTCTTAAATGAAAGCGGGATGCCCAAATAAGAGATTTTGTGACTATAATTGGAGATGTTTAGAGCATGACAAATCTCCTGATGATTAGCAACAAAACTAGGAAACATAACAGAGCTTTTATCAAAATTCACATATAAACCAGTGGCCTTACCAAAAGAAGTCAAAATGCTAATGAGATTTTGACAGTTGTCTACTGTAGCTTTACCAAATATGAGAAGATCATCTGCATAGAGAAGATGAGTCAATTTGAATCCATCAATGTCCACCCCTTCAAAATCCCCTTTATCTATAAGCTCAGAAAGTGCATCCATTACAAAGCAAAAGAGATATGGGCTGAGGGGGCAGCCTTGCCTCAACCCAGCAGATGAAGAAAAGTAACCTTCCAGAGCCCCGTTTATAAGAACAGAATAATTAACATCATAGATGCATGCCTTAACCCACTCAATGAACTTACCAGGGAAACCTTTTTGGCCTAAACGAGCTAGAATAAATTCTCTAGAAACCGTATAAAATGCTTTTCGAATATCCAGCTTGGCACAAAAAATTTTATGTCCACCTCTTTGACATTTCAGAGAGAGCAACTCATTAGCAAGAATAATATTTTCAGTGGATATTCTACCTTTTATAAAACCAGCTTGGTTGTCTTTGATAATCAAAGGCATGATAGGTTTTAGTCTGTTAGCCAAGACTTTAGCAATTATCTTATAGAAGACATTACACAAGGCTATAGGCCTAAAATCCGAAAAGGAGGCAGTATGCTTAGATTTAGGCACAAGAGCAATAGCCGTTGCTTTCACCCCACTAGGCATATAACCAGAAGAAAGAAATCCCCTAACAGCCTTGCAAACTAACGGCCCGAGAATGTGCCAACCAGATTTATAAAAGAAGAAGTTGTAACCATCAGGTCCAGGAGTAGAGGAAGAGGCTCCCGAGAATACAGCTGCCTTAATTTCATCCGTGGTGGCATTAAGGGAAATATTATGAGACATAAAAGAAGTGATACAATTTCCCATAGGAAAATGGATAACATCACATACAGCAAGTGAAGGAGGGTTGAACAAAGTTTTAAAGTGATCAATAATAGAATTAACAGTGTCTTGCCTGGAAGAGGAGCTAAAGGTAGAAGCCAAATTAAGGACAGCTTTATTTGAACTTTGCCTGGCACGAATTTTAGCATAAAGGAATTTCAAGTCCTCTTCACCTTGAGTTAGCCACTTAGCTTTAGCACGTTGTATAGTCCAGGAAGCCAACATGTGAGTAAAATCAGCTATTTTTTGGTTAATAGCCTTAAGGTTGGCATTAAGCGTTGAATCAAGAGGATCCAAGTTGAGACTGTTGAGGCAATCAGATTGCAGAATATTAAGCTCATCCATGTGTTTTTGAATAGTAGTAGAATTGGACCAGTCTTTACTTTTGATGCTAACTTTGAGGAGTTTAAGTTTGCTGCAGAAGTCCAAAGTTGGATTTCTAGAAGTTGGGGATGAAAAAATATGCAGAACCAAGTCCCAATATCTGTCCAATTTAGGCCAAAAATTTTTGAACATAAATCTGTGCTTAGATGAAGTAGAAATACCTGAATGAAGGATGATAGGGCAATGATCCGAGCAGGCCGGATTTTGGAATGAGCAAAAGGAGTTAGGAAAGGAAGATTTCCATTCCTCATTAACAATAGCCCTATCCAATTTGATATGTATAGGATTATCAAGACGTTGATTGAACCAGGTATACCTACTACCAACAGAGTTGAGGTCATACAGTTTGAGATCAAAGAACAGATGGTTGAGCTCCCAAAGATTATTTTTAGTCAATAAGACACCTCCAGCTTTTTCGTGGGCAAAGCGACAGCAGTTGAAATCTCCCATAAGAATCCATGGAGTAGGATGAGTAGGCAATATTTGCCTAATGTGACCCCAAAGAGCATTCCTTTCAAAAGGACTATTAGAAGCATATATAACAGTTAACAAGAAAGGAGTAGAATTACCCATTTGGACATAACCAGAGATGTTTTGATCAGTGACCAAAATAGGAGTGAAAGATAATTTCGAAGAGTTCCACTTAACCCAAATACGTCCAGATTTTGATTTGTCAAAATTATTGCAACTGTCCTCAGAAGGGAGAACAGAATGAGAAGAATTGAAAAAAGGATCAAGTAGAGCAGCAGCATTGATCCTGTTTTCCAAAATACACACCATATCCAGCTTTAACTTGTGAGCCAATTGCCTGCAGCAAAGCACTTTATCAGGGTTGTTAAATCCCCTGATGTTCCAAACCGCAATGGATGGAACCAACATTAGTGTTTTGGATTGTTAGGGGGTTTTCGACCCTTCCCCTTGGCAGGCTTTTTCCCCGTATTGATGTAGATAGGAGACTGTTTGTGACTGGTTTTAAATTGCCCTGTGTCTTCCTCGCCCAACGCATCATCCTGCAAGTTGTCTTGCAAAGATGAAAATTTGTTTGGAGAGTGGAAGGATTGAGAGGTCTGAAGAGCCAGAGAAAATGAAGAACCGGAAGTTGAGGCCGTATCCTCATTAGGTGAATTTAAGTTCGGAATCACCGGGAGGGTTTCCACTTCAGCAATGGTCTCAAGGTTGTGCTTGGGAATTATCTCGGAAGAGTTCAGAACAGTCAAGTTATCATTGACAGGGTCAGGGGTGGGGCGCTGTTCGGGAGCTGGGTCATTGATAGTAGTTGCAATAGCATCCTGGGTACCAACAACAGGGATTGCAATATCGGGCAAGGAAGCAGAAGGCTTAAAAGAAGAGGATGGGGGAGGATTAGAGGGCGTATAGGCAGGGGATGGCCTGGGAGTTCTGTTTTGTGGCTTTCGGCTAGTGCTTCTGCCCCGCGCAGAAGCAGACGGCTTTCCAGGATTAGCTGTAGAGGGGGAAGGGTTGGAAGGACAAAGAGATGATGGGTGAACCAGAGATTTACAGAACTCACAAGGAGTGGGACGCCACTCATATTGAACTTTGAGGCTAAAAACATCTCCATCCAGTGAAATGGGGATTTCGTCAGGGTATTTGGCCGAACAATCCACCTGAACGCAAACCCTAGCATACGTGAGACGAGTTTTTTGTGCTGTAAGAGAGTCTACCGCTAGAGGAATACCCACTTTGCTAGCTATCCTAGAAATGCCTTCAGAGTTCCAACATGCAAGGGGTAAATCATGGATCTTAACCCATATCGGAACATTAGAAAAGTTCTCCCTTGTAGGACGGAAGCGGGGATGCCATTTTTGTAAGACAAAAGGACGACCAAGTAAAAACCAAACTCCTCTATTCCATACCATGTCAAAATCTTCGGAGGAAGTGAATCGCAACAAAAAAAATCCATCACTGAGCGATAAAAGTTTTACCGAACCCTTGAGCGACCAAGTCCTCTTGATAGCTCCAAGCAGAGTTTCATAATAGGGTCTCCTCCCTAACGAGTAGCCAACAAGACACAAGCTCCAGCCTTGCGCTCCAGCCAAGAGCTTTTCACCAGAGAAGGGAACAATCTCAGGTTCTTCAGGAAAAAAAGAGAGCGGGATGTTGTCGGTCGCAACCTCAGAAGGCGCAAAAATGTTGTTCCAGTCGCGTAGGGGAGCAACAGGAACTCCACTACTCCCCGAAGGGAGTGGGGGAAAGTTAGTAGCATAAGTGGAGGAGGAGTTCATAGCGATGGAGAGGCCTCCGGCTTAGCCGGAGGAGGCGGCGGGAAGGAGAAGCAAAATCGCGGGAAACCGAAACCCTAGCAGAGCTCCCGCTAGAGGAATAAAGATAGAAGTTCTTACGTATGGCAGTGTTATTCAAGCATGTGCTGGACCACGTTCCACCACGCAACATAACTAGCTCACCAATACAGGCCGCAGGACCACAACTTGTGCGGCACCACCTTTCATCAGCTGCATGTAGCAGTCTGACATTCCATAACAGAAAGCATATTCCCCTCAACAAATTGTACTCACACATTCTACTACCCTATATAGACAAGACCTGTAATAGAGAGATACGGAGCTTCTTCATAATGAAACAGTGATTTCTTCAGATAGTATTCTTCTCCAGTTCTTTCTTCCATCTTTACTTTTCTATTGCTTTATGCTATTCTTGTTTTATTACAGGGCTTACATATTCAACTCCCACCAGATCCCATTTAAAAACTACTACAACTAAATGAAACATAACTATATCCCAAAGCCAGTAAGGCAAAAGAACACCAGTTTTTTCTTGGGCTTGGTTCCTCATCTGGAAAGAATTTTTACAAGCTTTCAAACTATTACACTCTCCCCTAACCTTTTCATGTCTGTTCAGCATAAACATGGAAATAATTATCTGGCAAGCCCCCTTCTTTTGATGGCATAAATGGATATAAATCATAAACATATATGAGAATCAATCTTCTTGCTCAATTCTTTCTCTTCCTTCCATGTTGGTCTTATGAGCTATTTCATGATATTTGCATATAAAGTTGCCATCATCTCTTTGACCAATTTAAAAGGCTCATTAAGTCTTCGTTTGGGACAGTTTTCTTACTGCTTCTTAAAGCAGCTTTTTAGTCAAAAAATTTATTTTTTTAACTAAAAAGCTATTTTAAGAAGCAATAAGAAAGACGACTCAAATGAAGCCTAAGTTGTTCAACACCTGATAGGAAGCTCATGGTTAGAAGACAAAATTATGATTCCATGACAGAACCAACTGAGCTTTGTCAACAACCAGAATACATGGCTTCTTCTATCCTCCTGATGACCACACTCAGGCTATGGGCAGATCGCAGAGCCTTAACAGCCGCTAGAAGTGCAGGCTTATGCCACTTAAGAAGATTGTAAGACTGCATGACTGACCAACGTGCTTGATTTGCCATCTCATTAATTAAATAAAGAAAGCAAAGCAATATTAGAACAGTTACTTCCAAGGTTTGAAGGAAAAATGCAGAAGTGAATATACCTGTGGTACAGTTAATGGAGGTTGGAGGAGAAGACAGATACCCCTAAACAAATTTTCATCATTTTCTCCACCTTCTGCTTCTCCATAAATGAGAGCTTCAGCGGCAATCCCAGAAAAGAGAACCATACAGTACCTGAGAATGTTTTTAGGATGTATGGTGATGTATTGTGTGGGAAAGAGGCATATAACTCTGCTATTACTTTTCCAACCTTCACATATTTTACCTGTCATAAGCAGTGCTACTGAGTCGACCTTCTGCCAGCTCTTTTTCTAACTTCTCATCCCAAAATTGAGTACCCGCCTGTGCGAATGTGAAGATTTAATCCACTGTAGGGTAGTCTGACAACCAATCTTTCACAAACAAGTTCCGTTTGTGCTGAAGCAATTATAAGAAAGAAAAAAAATGAAAATGATAAAGCAATTGAGTTTGAATTTGCTTTGCTTCATTTGTTTGGTTGAGTAGGGTTTAGATTTTTTTTTTCCCATGCTTCATTGATGAGGAATTCAATTTTTTGTTTTTTTTTTTATAAGGGGTTGAGTCATGGCAATGACCAAATAAAATTTTCTTCTATTTTTCATCAGAATTAAGTAAGAAACTAGGAATTGTTCATCGTAAAATGCATGTGCTCATATTTCTTAGATAATCCGTATTGAGAATTGATAAAAGAGAACCATGGAAAAAAGATCCGACTTTCCAACATAGAGAAGCTTGTCCTAATTCCATAGAAAAAGAAAAAGGCTATTAGTAAATCTACATATAATATAATACCTGGCCTTGAATGCCCATCTTCATTGCCACAATGGGGTCCAAAATGACCCCTCTTATAGGGCATCCCATCAGATATGCTGGAATAATTGAAGGTAAAGTTAAATTAAATTAGTCATTTAGGCTTCGTTTGGGGCGGGCTTTCTTACCGCTTCTTAAGACAGTTTTTAGTTCAAAAATTCAAAATTTTGTACTGAAAAGCTGCTTTCTGATGAAGTAATAAAGCCGTCCCAAACGAAACCTTAAACTCACTATTTCAACAAAGAATATTGATTTAAAATTCATGGACTGCTGCACATATTTCTGTCACCAAGAGGTCAAATATGCATATGTTGTAAGATGGTTGGGACTGTATATCTAGCTTAAGAAGTCACCTGTTAGAACATGCCCTGCTTCATGAACAAGAACTCGGCTCCTGTAAGGAGGCCAAAAGCATAATATTTGTGCAAGACAGGTTCCCCCAAGAAAAACAGCGTCAATAGCGGCCAAACCTAATACCGCTGCAATATTAGGCCTTAGGTCTACTCCTTGAGAGATCAGAAGATTAGCGCCACCTAAAATTCCAAGCAACATAATCCTAGAGGTTCCAGAAAGACCCCACTTCTTAGGTGCAAGCTTCGAAGCTGTACAAATGGCAAATAGATCACTTAGCGATTTAAATTATTGCGCACAAAAGGAGTACAATGGTTATATTCAAAAAGGTAAAAGAGCGTATAAAGAGGACAGTTTAGCAACTCAAGAAATTATTTAATGATGATGTTTAAAAAAATTATTTTAGAAGAACATAATAAACCAAATAATGAAGAGCATTATGGACAAAAAAAATAAAGCAAAGTTAGCTTTGAGAAGACATGTAAAAGCAAAGCTTTAGACCTACATGAGAATTAAAAATAATAATAATATTATAACAAAAAATAACATGCATAAAATAAAAATAATTATGAAGAACTGCCAAAAAAAAGGAAAAAACAAAAATATCATGATAACCAACTATGCAACATCCAATGGATCCTATAAGCTAAAAAAACTCATTTAGAATGTCTTGCTTGAAGCCTTATCAATACAAGAGAGTAGTGATAGATTTTTTTCCAATTTCTGACCCATCTAGTAAATAGAATTTGGAACTTTTATCAACTAAAACTACGACACTATGAATGCACGCATAGGAACTATAAGGTTGCAAAGAATATGATTATTACTAAATTCTCAAATTGGAGGGAGCTAAGGTATTCCAATAATAGGTTGTTCAGTCTCAATGCTAATACCAGCTAATGATGAAGTACCCATCTTCATAAAACAAGTAGGGAGCGGAATAAAATTGATTCCAAATTATAAGTGCAGATATCTATTAAGATTTGGATAATTATGAGGGAAAAGATTAGGAGGTCGTCAAATGATTGATGAATAAACATTTCATGGTAATAAAGAAGACAAACTTATATCAAATATTAAAGCTAGGTAGGAAAGTAATGAATATAGACTATGAAATATTAAGTCAGCGTGAAATAATCAAATTGATTTCACACCAAGAAGAACTTCCATGAAAGTGATTTTTATGTTAAGACAATTAATAAAAAAATATATAGAGAGCTAATAAAGGTTCCCAATATGGTTGTTATTATCCTTAAGAAGGCATATGATTAGGGGCGTCAATTTCGGGTCACGGGTCGGGTTCGGGTCGAACCCGAAACTGACCCGTCACTATTCGGGTCAACCCGAACCGTTTTTGAGAACGGGTCAGTTTTCCTGACCCGAAACTGACCCGCTTCGGGTCCGGGTCAACCCGACACAACCCGAGTGACCCGTTTCCAACAAAAAAATTGCTAGTTTTTGGGTCAAAACGGGTCTATCTCCTCTTTTTCGGGTGAAAAACGGGTCAAAATCGAGTCAATCTCGGGTTGCCGAGTCAAAATCAGGTTTTCAGGTCAATTTCGGGTCAAAGAGTTAACCCGAACCCGACCCGATTTTTGAAACGGGTCGAAATGTTGAACCCGAACCCGACCCGTTTCGGGTTCGGGTTGGCCCTAACCTGAAATTTTCGGATCGGATTCGAGTCGGGTTTTCGGGTCGTGTCAAATATTGACACCCCTACATATAATCAAGTTCCACAATGATTGAATTATTGTGGAATAAGACATAAATGTGTGCGGCAAAGTTATGCTGAAGTTGTTATATATATAGTGCTAAGCAATTAGTAGTTGGGGAATGAACAAAGACTTACCAATAATACTAGGATCATATCGAGGATCAATAATAAGTCCATGTGATAAAAATCTTCATGTTTATTTTTTTCTCTGTTTGCCTTCCGCCCTTATTTCATCAAAAGCATCATATCAAGCAATGATTTGAGCATACCTTTTTATATTTGTATTCATTGGTTTATATTTTATTGGTTATGTATGTAATTAAGAACATGTAAAGATGGTCATAGAGAGAGGGATATATTTTTACTTCCTAGATTTAGGTTAGTTCATATGATTTGGCATGAAGTCAATCTTGATTCAATTCAGCTTAATTTTCACAATGAATTGTTTCATTGGAATAAAATATATTTTCCTTTATTTGTTATGTTGAGGTTGCAAGGCAATGGCTTATAGACTTAATCCCTTGTAATTAATTTGGGTAGTGACTGCTAGACAATAGAGGACAGACTTTACCTTCCAAGCCAGTTTGTTCCTTCAAAATTGTTGGTGTGACCTCTCTTGCTCCATCCATAACTGTAAAGCAAAAAAATATAAAGAAAATAAATATGAAATTGAACTATTTTAAAAGAAAACTGTCAGTAAACAGAATTGTATACAGTGCCAAGCTATTTTTAGAACCATTGATAAAATAGAAAATGTCCTGCAAACATAAATAGCATTACCATGCCAACACGATCACATACGCCCATAATGAGGAATCATACAATCTAAGCATCCATGAGGAATGCATGAGCTCCACGAGGTTACATCGCATATTCTTAAGGATTTTAGATTTAAAAAGTAAAAGCTTTCCCATTGCGCTCAGTGCGAAAGAGTATGGCTAGAAAAACAAGAGATAATAAAAACACATGCTGCTTAACAAGGACCAAAATAGGTTGTCAGGTACATTTTCTAAAACACAAATATCATAATGGGCATTGCATGACTAAACTAATCCTTCTCCCAACGAAGGAAACTGACTTAGCGCAACAGAAAATATCCAGAAAACATAGCCACACTATCAAATGTATTGAAGCCTAAATACATCTAACTCAGGCAATCAACCGTACTGCAAATACAGTATATTCACAAACAGAAAGCAATCTTTATGTTGCAAATATCTAAGAAGTTTAACTTTTGTTTGACAGACAAAATTTCATTCTATCTTTTTTTTTTTTATAGCAACCAATATGAGAACTCTCACCATCCCAAGGAATTCCAGCGACATAAGCATGCATTTCTAACTCTGAAAAGAAAAAAAGTGCCCATCAAGTTGAGAACTCTTAAGCTATAGCTGTCTACCATAAGAACAGTATCGCCTATCATCTATCAAGCATAGACACAACAATTTTTAAGCTTGTTGCTCTCTCGAAAATCATATTCTAGATTAATGAATTCGTCTTAATTTTTCAAATTTTTTAAATAAAGTCCAGTACATAATGGACATACTTTTCGTGCATCAACTTCTCTTAAACTAACCACTTTTCTTATTTAGAAATAAACAGGAATTTAAAGCAGAGCATAAATTCCCTATTTATAGCTCTATGTATGGTCCAACATATACACCCATATCAAAAAGATTCTCAGGTAAAATGGCATATAACATATTAAGATATGAGCCATGCTAGACATGGGGTTACATGCAACAATACTTTCTGGTAAAAAAATAGCTTTTTTTATTTATTAAGCTCCACACTTGCATATTTAGATATAAAAAGCTTTTCACATCACAAAATAATGATGGAAAACTAAAAGTTCAACCTAACATAAGTATGACAACAGTTTGAAAAAAAAAACAATGCAAGGATGCCCAAAACAACTCTACATCCAATGATATGAATCCACTTGCACATAGTTTAGAAGTAACAGTGGATAATTAGAGAGTTAATTACCTAAGATATCATATCATAAGATACCCAGGGCGAGAACATTAATTAAAGATAAGAAAAAGTTTTCCTTTTTTTTCGGTGTCATTTTTTCTTTAGAAGTGTTAAATAGCTCAAAATTCTAATTACAATTGATGATCCAAATATGGTGGCCTTGCCGAGAAAGGAAAATACACAATTCAATAAACCACAAAAATCATTGCCTTGTTCGAGTCGATTCAAGATCATGTAGACGGCCTTCTTGCTCTAGATCGCTCAAACCAAGCTTCTAGAATCTCATCGACAACACATTCTCATAGCATTGAAACTTAAGATATCGTCAACCCACGATATTGTCCTATCCAATCTTAGGTTGCTAATTCAAAACATCCTTTTACCCACCCATCTCCTCCCCCGGTTGTGATCGTAGCAGCCATTCGTCCACCCACACCTTGTGCGATCGCAAGCAAGCAATATCACTAGTATTAACCCAATCCCATCATCTTGCGTTGCTTTCTTTTAGAATCCGCGGGGCTCCTTCCGCTTGACAAATGTGGCTGAATTGAATGTTCCTATAGAAGGTGCCAACCACTCATGATCTATTCACGACTATAAAAACAAACACTATCGTTATATGCAAGATCCTTCTTGATCTTGGTCTGGTCCAATATCCCATCCTAACCTCGTCGACAACCGGATCCAAATTAGAGGAACCAAGGTGCATCCTCTAACAACTCCATCCCACAAAAAAACCACTACTCGCAAACCTCGTCATGTGCTGTTGCCCTTCATGCAAGTATGTGACAATACTCATCATGCACAACATCCGTTCAAGTTTTTTTATCGCACGTCGCCATTCACCTTAAGAACCACATAGTTTGGGGCGCTCCAACTCTAGGAATTATAATATATGCAAGCACATTCTCCATTTGCATACTATAAAGCTCAAATCTCTATACAAAAGATGAAACAAGACCATGACCAATAAATTTTCTCCTCAAAACCACTGCATCTTCTACTGGTGACCATTTCTTCTCAATGTCCTTGCATTCATGCTAGATAGTTCCTCACGGCACATGAAGAACAATATGGGTCAGCAGTCTACTCATCATAATCAATAATGGAAAGAGAGTTTAAGTAGTCTTCAACGACTTTAAAATAGACATTCCTAGTTTTAATGTAGGAAAGTCAATAAAAATGAATCTGTTAAGGTTGCTTAGTTTTTTTTTACCACAAATCCATCTAATCATTGCATTTATATTTGCCTTCATTGGGGCAATGGATGGACGGCATCATTTTCTTACCTACTGAAGCTGTATTTAAACAAACGATGAGTTCTGAAAATTCTTCAATTAAAATTTCTCGATGTTTGATTCATCCCTGCTTTGAAGATCTTGAAAAATTTGAATCAAACCTTCATTGGTGAAAATGAACATTCGCAAGCCAGTGTGCAATGAAATATCAGAATATGTGGGATGTGCAAATGCTTATAACCGCAAATTTGGTTTGCACAATATTGAATCAATTGGTACCTTTTAACCGGACACAATGACAATACAGGATTTCTGTTGCGTTACCCACGTAGTGAGCAAAGGTCTTGATGTTGTTTGTTTGTGATTGGATGCACACTCATGGTCCCAAGGGATGATGAACTCAAGGTTTCCTCAAGTTCCTATAGCAAGGTTTCCTCTGGCAATGCCATTGTCGTTCTATGCACACAAAATAATTGGCTGTAGAGATTTCGGCTGATGGAATGGTGAACCTTCATTGGATTGACGTGATTGTTTGAGAATTGAGGACAAGTTACTTGGCAGGTCTGTATGATGTAATCTCTTGTTATTAGTGTATAGTTAAAAGCGGATAAATTAGAAGAGTTAATTAGTTTTGAGAACATTGACCTATAATTATCCCAATTGGGAAGATAATGAGTGACATTCATAACATCCACTAAATGGAGGACCCAGTAAACTACACCGCTTCAAAGCATGTTTCCAACCTTCAAAAAAGCAATCAGCTCTTAATCAAAATCAAAAAGTAAAGTGCAATCATTCAGCATCCAAAGCAAAAAGCCAAAAATCACGTAAGAGACGCCCAATTATCCTCTTGAATGTCCTCTAAACTCTCTCATTACATGAATAATACTGAAGAAAAGTATGAAGGAGATCCGAATTACCAAATACTCTGATTTCCAACCAATTCTCCCAGACAAACCACGATCTTTCAAGAAACGCAATAGCGTCTTCCCATCCAAACCTCATATCATCTGGCGTAATGCACGTGTCTAACACCTCCCATCCTTTTCCAATCTGGTGCAGGTCCAGCATATAGACAACGAAGGGTTCGGGGCATACGGAAAGAAGTGATGCAGGATTTGGAGAGGATGGTGAATTTTCCAGGTTTCGCTAACCGGAGGGCTCGAGCGAGTCTTTCTCCCATCACCGGCATCCTCGTAACTCGCGCGCATTACCATCTATAGTCTTAATCCAGTGACACGAGCATTTCGCTGGAATCTCGCTTTGGGGTCGAAAATATAATAGGTTGCGTTTTCAAGCGGGAAGCTGCATGATTGCAGAGGGGGACGCAGACAACGTCAAAGACTTTAGGGCGTAGCCTGTTTGTTTAAAGTATTTCCCTCGTTCCGTTTGATATAGCTATCAGTTGTGTAATGTTGGAAGGAAGTTTACCCGTAAAATCAATTTTTAGTAAAACGCGTATTTTGAGCGGTGTACAAAATTTTTTTCTGCCGCTATATCGTATTCCCGGAAACCAGCAAAGTTTCGCCTCACCAATACCCGAATAAACCGGAGCGTTCTCAGGTCGCCACGAACCTTCGTACTTCTTCAAAGGCAACACAAAAACTGTCGTTTTTTTTAGACTCCTTCCACACGGTCTCACCGAACAAGACAGCTGCACATGATCGCTGAATCTCGCTCAAGTCGGTAAATAAAAACTCTGCCCGATCGATCAGGCAAACCTGACCATCCCTCGGCATTTTCCGCGTAAGCTCCTAGTGAAACCGAATTTCCATACTCTTTGCTCCTTCGTTGTTGTCGAGCTAATTCGCTTCCTCACCGAACTCAGTTCCCATTCTTTACTTGCTTCCCCACAAATTTAGTGGTTTTTCGGAAGCATCGGATCTGTATATGAATCAGCTGCAAGGTAAACTTTTCTCTTTTTTTTTTTCTGCTCATTCGCTTGATATTTATTCAATACTTATCCTTCACAAGGTTTATCTTTTACATTATGATTCGCTGCTATTAATATTTGTTTGAAGTTGTTAACCAATGTTCTCTATCTTTTTTGGGAATGTTTGGAATATAAGAATATCTTTTCTGCCTATCAAAGTAAAAATTGCTAAAAAGCGATGGTTGATTTGAGCATTGTTATCAAGATATTTCCACATTTCACCCTAATTAAGTTGAAGAGAAAAGAATGGATGGAAAAGACTGTATCCAGTTTTTTTGAGTCTTAACCACTGCAGTAGACGAAGAGAAATTTAAATAATCTTCGATCATTCAGCAGTGACTGATTCGGTTGATGGTAAATGAATTTCCACAGCCATTGAGGTTGTGGATGCAGTCATGAGAATGTTCCGGACTTCTAAAAAGCCATTTCTCTCATAGTTAATATCAGATACTTCTCTAAAAGAGAAGAGTGCTCAGAAAATGCAACTCAGCCTTGATGCGATCCATCGACATCTTTTTTTGCTAAAGACCAATTAAGTTTGTCTATAGCGAATAAATTCCATTTCAAACAAATCCTTATT